TAGGGAAATGTTCACATTTGCACAGGGAATTTTCCAAATTCCTGTGCTACAGGAGCTGAGCAGCACTGAAATCTAACTAAATGGAGGAGCCATATTCAAGAGCTTATGGACGGGTTTGAAACAGTGGGGGGTGCCAATGGAAATGCCTCTTTCTCTCAGCAACATTTAGGCATATGTGTGATGCATTTTCAAGACAATAGTCATTTTGACATCCATCTCTGGACCTTTCAGATTTGTAGTAGAGTTCTCAATAGTTCTTCTTACTTTATTATCTAAGCATTGACCAGGTAAATTAAATCTACATGTTGTCCCTAAGGCTGTGTCCAGACTCAGGGGTTTTTTCGAAAAAAGTAGCCTTTTTTCGAAAAAACTTCACCTGCGTCTAGACTGCAGCCGTGTTCTTTTGAAATTAAATCGAAAGAATGCGGCTTTTCTTTCGACGGTGGTAAACCTCATTTCACGAGGAAGAACGCTTTTTTTCGAAAGTGCTCTTTCGAAAAAAGGCGTTCTTGAATGCCAACAGGGCTTTTTAGAAAGAGAGCATCCAGACTCACTTGCTGCTTTCTTTCGAAAAAGTGGCTTGCTTTTTCAAAAGTACTGCTTGCAGTCTAGATGCTCTTTTTCGAAAGAGGCTTGCAGTATAGACATAGCCTAACAGAATTCAAGAAGTTGTCTCCTCTTCTTCTCATAGATAAGGCATGTTTTCTGGACATTTTTTGTTCTCTTTATATAATCATCATGTTAGGTATAGTGAAAATGTTTTTTTTTTTTCTAAATGGAAAATCTAGTATCTGACCAATTTCAGGAAACTCTGCAAGCTTGTTTCATAGCCAATTTCCCTTGCCTGAAAATCCATTATTACCAGCTTCACATGCTACTTCATGATATTTGCAAGCTGCACTGTACCAAAGGAATTGTCTTGGTGGGTTGCTGATGTAGTTGAGTACTGAATCATTCTTGCCTTTGAAGATAATCAGGACCAACACAGGAAAGTGGAGGGACCATAGCTGAGAGGTGATGTGCTCACAACAATTTGTTTCACTAAGGAGGTGTGAACCTTGTTGGTTCACACTAACAGTTCTTTAGTGGTAGAAATGTAGCCGTGTTAGTCTGGTGCAGCTGAAACAAAAAACAGGACTGTGTAGTGTAACACTACACAGTCCTGTTTTTTGTTTTAACAGTTCTTTAGTGAGCTTTGATCTACTCCCGTTTCAAAGTAGGCAGGATTGTAGTAAGTAGAGGGTAAATGTGGATAAACCCCTTTCTCTTTTGAGGAATGTGGAGATTAGTATAGGTTAGTTTACCCATTTCCTTTTGCTATTAGTAAAACACTGAAAGTGGGGTAGACCAAAGCACACTAAGGAACTGCTAGTGTGAGTCAGCAAGCTCCACATGGTCAGTCAGTGCTTGATAGATTCACACTGAAGCTTGTTTTGAATGTAATGTCTGTGGAGACAAGCCCTGAGTTACAGTAGTCCAGACTCTAAGTGACAAAGCTCATGGATCGTTTTGGCCAGCTCCTCCTCTAGGAAGGAGGATTAGAATTTCCTAGCAAACTGCAAGTGGAAAGAGCCTTAATGGCTTATTATTGCTGAAAGCTAACTGATTGTCACCATTCAGGGCAACCACACCTGTACTCACCCTTTATGTTACAGCAAGGGCACCCACTCTCAGGCTTCTGATTCTCCTGGCCGTCATCCGCCTTAAGTGAGACAAGCACGTCAGTTGCTCCAAATAAGGGTATCTCCAGGATGAACAGTTCCCTGCCTTCACTGTGTTACTCCCAGAAGAGAGAGGCTGCCCAAGAAGTACTGCCCACAGTTAATTATCATACAGCTCTTTTTTTAAAAGCCTGTTTTATTGTTAAGCTAAAGGCACTTCAGAGAAAATGTATTAAATACAATAAAGGAACCAAGCTACCATGCTTACCAGAAATCACCCAAACCTAATACTGGCTCTGGCAGGAGCAGTTCTTCAATACATCACCTAACGGGTTTCTTTGTGATATCAAGTTCATCACAGCTTTAGCTCATAGCCAACACACAACCTTATGGCACTTCAGTAGACCAAGTCATTCCAACTCATTCCCCTAAGGATTGTGCTTCTCCATGGACAAGAAGTCCAGTGCATTTGCTGGATCAGGAACAAGGTCTTGAGACTGATTAAAACCAGACTACTTATCCAAAAATACTTTATCTGTCAGTTGGTCCCTGAAGTTTGAAGTACTGTATACCAAACTCTCCAGGGGGATGACTTCAAAGGGCTGATAACTAGAGGAATTACATGAGCACCTTCTTCTTCCTCGAGTAGTTACATATAATTACTCAAAAATAGGTACATAATTGCATTTTAACACAATGTATGCTAAATGTATTATACCTAATTTGTAAAGCTTAAATTCAATAAAGTTTATCTTAATTGCATACAGTTCATCCAGGATATTGTTAGTCGTGTCACCCTGATCATCTAGATTTAGGGATAAAGTTGGACAGAATTCTAAGGCTTAATACCACTTCGATTATTTGGGAAAGGAGGGCAGATGTCTCAGTGGAAGTACAGTACAGAATCCTATCTAACTACTCAAAGCATTTTCTCCTTCTAAACAGTCTCACCACAGTTTTGCATCGATTTAATTTGAGCCAGCTATACTTAATCAAGGAGCTGATGCCTTCTAGTCTTTCTGAAAGCTTTTTGTTACTGGTTTGCCTCTGCATAATGAGACATACTGCTGGGTATTATCCAGGTAGCATGACCATTGGTGTGTGCAACATCTCACCAAGAGGTAAAAGGTCTTTAAGTGTTTCCTATTTCCTATGTCTTTTTTAGATGGGGTCACCAGAACTGAACACAAATGAGGGCATATCTATGGCATCAATATGTTTCTTGCCTTTATAAATCCTAACTTTTTTACTTCTATGACCATTACTATATGTGCTCCTCCCAACTCCCAGTTCTCACAACACACACACACTTCTCTGGTCATACGTATTTTATAATTAAAATGTTAAGACAGTAATAAAAGCACCTGTCTGATCCTTTTAGATTTTACTCGTCCTATTGAATTCCATAATCACCTGAATCTTGGCAATCAAGAAAGCAGGACCTTAACTAGACAGGCTGAAGAAGGTTTTAGCCTGTGTTGGCAAATTTAACACCAACTTTATCTTTAAATAATCAAACTTTATTTCAGATAAAGAGAGCAAGAAAAAGTTTCATCATGCAAAAGTTTCTTTTTTGGCACGGTTTAAATTACTACACCTTCCTTTTTAAAATTTCAGTCTCACTACTTTACAACTATTCCATTTATTGCTTTATCATCATAGTTCTGTAAGCCTCCCCATACAAAAGGGCCACAGTTACCTGTTTCAGTAAGTTATATTTTTTATTTACTTTACATAATAGTTAAAGTAACAGTTACTTTTAAGAGGCATACAATATTTACAAAATGTACTTCAAAGAGTCTCTGACTCTTAAGTACATTGAAACATTATTGCATTCATGAAGAGCCTCTCTACCAGAGATAATATTTCTAAGAAGTCACTCAGGTTACTTTATTTGCATCATCTGTAGATGTGCATTAGCTAGTTATAACCATTGTGTCCATATGATTAGAAAAACAAACAATAGTACAAAGTTGCTGTGTTAAAGATTTTTTTACCCTTACTATTGTATACAAAACTTTCTATAATACTTTATTTAACATAACTGAAATAAATGTGTACAAAGTAGTAGGTCATTCTATTTTAGCTCTGAAACTTAACGCCCCTTGACATCATTCCACATCATTTGCAACTTTCATGAGAGTTTTCAATTATTAAGTAACCCCTATCCTTTTACTACTGTGACAGTATTGTTCTTATCTTGATGGTTTTCCTTTTAATGAACATGAGAGAAGTGTGGGCAACATTAAGAGTCCTAGTGTAGACAGGGCTCAGAAGTACCACCTTGTTGTTTAACCTTGCCCAGAGCAGGTCATGAATTAAAGAATTCATGAAATTAAAGAAGGCCTGAGCTTTGTCTACACCAGAACTCCTACTGTTGCAGCAGTGGAGCTACACTAATTGTAGGGCAATAGTGAGAGAGCTCCTGAAATCATCCCCAGGGGACTGTCAGCGTTCATACTCCTAAAACAGGCTGTATGCACATAAACACACCATTTGTTTTTATAACAAGATCTTCCAGTAAGTCAAAAGGAATAAACCTTTGTAAATAAAGTGAAAATGCAATTCAAACCATTTATTTTGCCATTAAAATTAAAGAAATTACATTTTTGTATTAGCAAGGGATTTGGTGACTATGCAGAAAATCCTATTCACATTATTCAAATTCAGTAGGACTATTTGCATGAGTAAGGTGAGGAACAATTGGTTCTGTTATTAACTTCTAAGGCTGGACCTTCCTTTTATCCCAAAAGTGATCCCTCACTCCCAACTTTTACTCGGTTAAATGAACACATTAAAATAAATTGAAGATATGTGACAATTTTTCTATTTTAGCCAAATCAAAATATGTAGGAATTGAATAATTAGTAATTACTGCTTTAAATCTTCACAGTACTGTGTAAACATTAACTAATCTCACAATATTTCTGAAAAGTATGATCATAATTTTTCAAATACAGAAACCTAGACACAGCAGTTAAATGACTTGTCCAAGCCAACCCCAAAAGGGCAGCAGAGATAGGAATAAAATCCAGTTATATACTTAATCCATTTACCTCTCAATTAAAGTTCATCAATCACTAAGGATATGTGAGGGTTGTAAGACTGCAATACTGAGCAATCACTATGGCTGCTGAACATGCCTTTTGTTACCCAAGATCCATTACAATTAATACACAGATAATAGCAGGCATTGTATGCAAGTGGGGGGATCAAGAACACTGTGATGAGTATACGTCATGTGATGCTGAACAGATGACTATGTGAAATACTGTTTACCCACAACCCTTGGACATTTTTCTGTGTCAAGCGCTGCTCTCAATATCAGTTCATTTTAAATGTTGCTCTTAAAGGACCCTCTAGTGATCTGCTTGAATTTGAAATTAGAGAAAATGAACATTCTAAGGACGTTCAAATGTGGATAATTGACTTGTCGACTAGTCGATGGAATTTCCATCAACTAGTCGACTAGTGGATAGGCACTTCCATATTCCTTCTTCGAAATGCACAACAGCCCCAGCAAGGCTCTTGTGCATTTCAAAGGAGGAATGCAGAACTCCGCGTACAACCCGGGGCCAGGGGAAGTCCTGCTGACTCCAGGCTGCATACGGGTGCCTGCTTTGAAATGCACAAAAGTTTCCAGTGTGGGCTCTTGTGCATTTCAAAGCCATGGAGACCAGGATCAGCGGGGGACTCAAAGTCCCCCACTGACCCTGGGGCTCCCTGTGTACCCAGGATCAGCTAGAGACTCCTCTGCTGATCCCAAGTGCTGGGGAAAAGCCACGGAGAGCCCAGGGTCAGCTGGGGAGTCCACAGCTGACCCCAGACTCCCCTCCTTCCCCTTTGATTCACATGGAGGTGGCATTTTAAAGGGGCAGCCCACTGCACAGCTGATCCCAGTCTCCCTGTAAACCCAGAATCTGTTGTGGAATCACCAGCTGACCCAGGGTTCCACTCAGCACTTCTCTGGAACCCGAGGTCAGCTGGGGACTCCCTAGCTAATCCCAGGTCCTGGGGAAGTGCCGAGGGGAGCCTTGAGTCAGCTAGGAGTCCCCACCTGAGCCTGGGCTCCCCTCTTGCCCCTTTGAATCATGCGGAGGCAGCAGTTTCAAAGGGGCAGCCTGCTGCAAAGCTGATCCAAGGATCAACTGTGCAGCAGGCTACCCCTTTAAAATGCCACCTTTGTGTGAATCAAATGGGCAGGAGGGGAGCCCGGGCTCGGCTGTGGATTTTCCAGCTGACCCCTGGCTCCAGGGCTGCTCCTTTAAATCTCCACAGAGGTGGTGTTTTAAAGGGGCATCCCGCCACACAACTGATCCGAGGATCAGCAATGCAGCTGCTGCCTTGGAGTTTCTGATAAATGCTTATCAGATAGTCAACTCGTTGACTAGTCTTTAACATCCTTAGAACATTCTAAAAGACAAGCAACTTATAAACTATTGTATTGATGAGACTGCATTTAAACACTATCAATAAGATCATACCCTATCTTTGGGGAGCATGTTTGTGTAGATTTGGTCCTGAGTTGTAGCAGAAAGTTTCATAAGCAGGTGGGCTTCGGGGGTTTTTTGGTATTCTTTAGTGGGATCAAAAGAGAGAAGCCTGCAGAATCTGGTGTTGGTGAGTTGTCTGCGAGTCTCCTGTTCATAATCTGTTCTGTTCATGGTAACTACAGCACCCTTGTAGTTTTATCAGCCTCTGATTATAATGTTAGAATTGTTTTTGAGGCTGTGCCACTACGTCAGAGGCTCATATAATACACATTCACCAATGCGATCTATGCCATCATCTGCCATCAATGCCCTTCTGTCATGTATACTGGCCAAACTGGACAGTCTCTATGACAAAGGATTAATGAACACAAATCAGATATTCAAAATGGTAACACACACAGAAACCTGATCGGGAACATTTCAACTTGCCCGGGTACTCACTAATGGATCTAAAAGTGTCTATATTATTTCAAATAATTTCAAAAATCACTTGGAGAGAGAAACTGCAGAACTTAGTTTAATTTACAAGTCTAACACCTTGAATAGAGGTTTAAACAAACATCTGACCTGGATGGGCTGCTACTTTCCACATCCTAATAACATAAAAAGCTAAGTACTGGGTACTTGAAATACTTAGCGACCACTCTATTAACCTCATTTAGCATGGACACTATTTGACAATTTTTTCCCTTCCCTTTTCTTCCCCATCCCCTCTCTTTCTCTGCTATTTATTTGCACCCTGGACCACTTAACTCCATTCATCTGAAGAAGTAGGTTGTGCTCATGATACCATCTACATTTTTGTTAGTCTTTAAGGGTATGTCTACACTTGTACCCTAGTTCAAACTAGGGATGCAAATGCAGGCATTCGAAATAGTCAATTAAGTGGGGATTTAAATATCCCACTCTTCATTACCATGATCTCGCCGGTGCACTAGTTCGAATCACCGCTGATTCGAACCAGGAAGTGCGCGCCGGAACACGTTAGTTCGAACCAAACTCCTTGGTTCAAACTAACGTTACTCCTCACAAAATGAGGTACTACAGGACTATTCACCGTTTTTTAAGTTTTTAGATAGTTTGGTATACTAGACAGTTTAAAATGACACATTTCAGTCCTTTCTTGTTCTTTAATGAAATTATTTTCTCTCACTAGTCTAACTTTTATTTTATTTATAAAAACCTTTCTTATGCTACGGAAGCTAGGATTAACTCATTCTGCTTTTTGTTGCTTTTATCATTTTCCTGAGAAGAGAAGAGAAGAGAAGAGAAGAGAAGAGAAGAGAAGAGAAGAGAAGAGAAGAGAAGAGAAGAGAAGAGAAGAGAAGAGAAGAGATTTTCTTCCTCTCTTTTACAGAAAGTCTCACCTGAGTATGGTTATCTCCTCCTTTTTCCATGTTCAGTGTAAGTTATCTTTTCTTTTAATCTTCAAGCAGTTCCTGATAAAGCCACACTGCCTTTTATTTTAATTTTATTTTATTTTAAGCAATTATGGTGTTTTAAGATTCTTCAGGTTTTTCCTATTGTGGGGATTTTATATTCTTTTAATCAAATGTTATTCATTAGATTTTTTAATTTTCCAAAACTTTCATTCCTGAAATCAAATATTGTTGGACTTACTGCATTCTTTAAATCCATAAATGGCATACAGAAGTGTATATATTTTATGACTGTAACAAATAAGAGTAAATTATAACAACTGATGTCCTGCTTGACGGAGGGGGGGTGAAAGCAGAGGAGGCTTTGCGTGCTCCCTCACCCCCCAGGCCCTAATTGGCTTAAGGGCAGGAGAGTGAGGGAAATTTCCTCCCACACCAGGGGCATGGGCTTCTTGGGGGAACATGGGGTAGGGGGAAAAGGCACTCCGTTATCCCCAGACCAATCATTGTCGGGGGTGGGGAATCTGGAAATATCTTGGCCACAACCCTTCTGCTTAATACCCTGTCCCTACCTATGAGGCCCGGTGCCACTTCAAACATTTCCGAAGTGGCCCCCAGCAAAAAATTATTGTCCACCCCTGCCATAGCCTCACTCCCTTCCCTTCCCTACTCAACATAGCAGAGTCTCTCCAAATCCTCTGCGGGGATTGTGAAAAAAAATCCTACTCCAACCTTGGCCAATTTAGTAGTCACCAAAAAAAATTCCTTCCCAGCCTCTCTAGAAAACTGGCATGATGTCCACAACAGGTCCTGACTAAACTTGGTATTTGTGCCTTCTCTAAGGAGAGGAATGGTGTATACTACTCCACTTGGTTTGGGGAAAATGGGCTTCTCCTTCCAGGCTTGCCCCTTTTCAATTCTCCAGCCTTTCTAGTCACTAGGGATGAGTCAGCGTCACCACAGCAAGCTGGACAATACCAACTCGCATTTAAAGATGTGTTGCAATCATTGTCTGAGTGTTTATATTTGCATTTCCATATGTTATGTTTAGATTTCTTTTAAAGTTAAGATTAATTCTCTATGTCATATATTTTTCATTTTTGGGATAATTAGAACATCGCTGTATTTTTGTCTTACTGTGAATTACTCATATTTACTTTCAACTTTACCTTAATATTAATGTAGTTTTTATTTGCAAATGTAAACAATGGATTTGAACAAGGGTGCATATTTGTACTATCTTATATGTCAGCTAAACTGACACATTTTCTTCTTAAGAAAAGTTGCCGCAGAGGGAGTACACAAACTTAAGTGCTGTTTTTATAAAGTGCTACTAAAAAGCAGTGAAAATTCATTGCTATTGAAAACCAGTTTTTCCAGGAACTAAACATGATATCAATAAAATACACCACAATCATTTATTAGTTATCTATGTTCATTTATTTCTGTTCTTGAAATAAATAATCTACTGGTGGACTTCCCAATTATTTGAAAGTTATGAAAACACTTATGCATCATGTCCAAAATTCAAACAATAATCAACCATTTGTTTCTATTAATTGTTTGAGACATTTCAATATATCTTTTTTGATATATTTTACTTTAACTATCAATGTGGCAATCTATTTTAAAGAATTTTTTCAGACACTGATAAACATATTCCCATCATTTCCTTTAATGGCCATTTTGTACTTTTACACAGAAAATGATGTATATCATACCAAAAATCTCTACTTGTCAAGTGTTCTGCAAGGGGGTTAATAAGATGGCATGGAGGTCATAAACTGAAGCAATGTTATAGCTTGTTAAGATGTATAATTTATTTCACTTCTTTGATCTATTTTATGCAACAGGACTTGAGGGAGATCCATGAAATAATGATATTGTCTGCTGTACAGATACAGTACATAATGACTATAAGATAAATGTTTATAATTCCAAATTTTGCACACTATAACTAGAGGCCACTCTATTCCAGTAGGGCAGGATACACATAATGAAAGTGTAAGGCTGTGAGCAGTAGATCTCAGTGAATGAGTATGTATGTAGAAATCAAATATTACTCAAAAACTTGCCTAGAAAAACTTTTATATCATTCTGGAGTGATTGAACATCCATTTATTTCAAGGTTTAGTTTATTTCCAGAAACAAAACTAAAATTAATAAACAATCCCCTAACTGCTTATTTAAGGTTCTTGGCCAGTGATAGCACAAATATTTAATAAATGAACATTTACTGAAAATATTTGCTTTATAATATATTGGGTTTGGCTAATAATAAAAGAATTACCTTGGTTTGTGGAGATTTATCTTGTAGAAAAATTAAGATCCTGTAACATCTCATTTTGTAACAAATTTCATCCATCATCATCTCCCTACAAAAGTAACAATAACCTCATAAAAAACTCAAGGTATCTGTCTAGTAACATATTATTGTTATAAGCAGACAGAAAGCATGGAATTTAACAAGCTTGATTTGAGAAATCTTTTTCCATATGCGGTCACTGTTTTGTGATACCTAGTGTACTTTTACTAACTACCCTTCTCTGCTCAAAACTAATCTTACAAGTACAAGAAAATACTTTCTTGAGTCAAGTTGTTTAGATAATGAATAAATATATACATAAATAATTCATAATGCCTTCTGACAGAGGTTTTATTTGAAACTAGTAGCTGAAATCCTGTCACAGATATAATTCATGAAATCATGTAAGTAAAAAAACCTCAAAATAACCGAAAACTTAAAAATCAGATAGCAACACACCATGTGTGATGATTGAACCTAGTGATATTCTAATAAAGAAGAACTCTCGACTTTGCTTGTCACAATTTTCATTGGATCACACTGACTCTTCATGCATTCTAGAATTCAATGTAATATTTGGGATTACTGTGTGTGTGTATGGATTCTGCTCTTATGTGGGTGGTTGTGTTAGTCTGTGTGTGGTTTGTGTGGTGCTGAGAGAGTTGTGTGCATTAGAGCTGGTGAGTGAGGGGTGTATACTGTATTGAGGTGTGCTTGGGATTAATGTATGTGCTACTGTATAGATAATTCTGAAGAACTGTGACAGTTGGGCCAAATAATAAATACAACAAAGGAAATTGTAGCATGAAAATTAACTGTAAAGTAAGGGTAATGATTGGTTGAGTTACTTATGATATCCCAGCGGTCTAGAACTTATCGCATGGCATCAATATATGCTTTGCTGTCACAAATCCCAGGGACCACAAATTCCATGGACAGAACCTGGTAATATTCGGATCAAAAAGACCTCCAATCATGCTTGTAGCAATTCCTATCACTTCACACTAACCCAACTGACTTTTGAGTCTACAGATTGTCACACTTCGGAATCTGCTGTCAACACTGTCCACATATCTATACAAGTGACATCATCACAGGACCTAATCACATAAACCACCACCTCAGAAGCTCATACAACTGCACATTCACCAATGTAATCATGCCATCAAGTGCCAGCAAAGCCCCTCTGCCATGTATATTGGCCAAACTGAACAGTCTCTACAACAAAGGGTTAATGGACACAAGTCAGAAATTCGAAAAGGTAACACACAGAAACCTGTTGGGGGACTATTTTAACTTGCCTGGACACTCATTAATAGATCTCAAAGTTACCGTATTCATTTACAAGTTTCATACTTGCCACAGAGGTCTAAACAAAGACCTTGAATGGATGGCCTGCTACATTCCACCTCCTAATGACATAAAAAAACAAGTACAGGGTACTTAAGAGGACTTAGTCTCCATTCTCTCAGCTTCATTTAGCATGGACACTCTAATTGACATTTTTCCCCCCTTCTTTTTCCTTCTCTCCACGCCCATCCCCTCTCTTTCTTTGCTATTTATTTCAAAACTGGACCCCAAAACTCTATTCATCTGAAGAAGTGGATTGTGCCATGAAAGCTCATGATACCATCTACATTTTTGTTATTCTCTGAGGTGCTCCAAGACTATTCGTTATGTTTTAAGTTTTTTCAGTCATTGATTAAGTGTATATTCTCCTCTACTCCTAAACTTTCTTTAGTAATAGTGGGTTTTACACATGTGCACCAAAAGAAAAATATATTTACGTATTTCAAAAAATAGTTTTGAAAATTGTTAAAGTGTTTGTACGTACTTTTTAACCTTAAATGTTATTTAGGCACCTCAATATATTTAAAATATGGCATTACTATATTCTAAAATTGTCTTTAATAATACAAGTTGCTTTACTAAAATAATAATGAATATATTATGCAACCCTACAAAACATAAACCAACATGTCCACATGAAGAAATAAAATATTTATATTCTGAACATTCCTTTAAGAAACAAATTTCATAAACCTTCTTTTCTGAAGGGAGCTTACTACAGAATACAATTACATAACATGTAAACTCAGGCCCAAATCTTAAGGTATACTGAGTACCTGCAACTCCCAGTGAAGTCAAACATATTAATATGCTTTTTACAGAATATATACACTAAATCTATTTGCATTAATCAACAATGAGCCATATGCTGAAGGTGAAAGGGAGGCCATAAAGCTGAATTAGCTGGGCAGCTGATGATGTCTTCGGTATGAAAAATTCTTCGCTGACATACCAACTTCTGGGACAATGCAAAACACAGAACCCTAAATGAAGTATGTGAGACCTGGGGTACAAAGCATTCTCAGACAAGAGGGCAGGCAATAAACTCCTAGGGTAAAGCAAGCAAATTCATAGTTTGACTATGTTTAGAAAATGCTATGAAAACTTTCTATTAGAAAAAGCCTTTACAACATAACAAGAATGACATTCACAGTATTAACACTATATATTCCCCAAATAGACAGCACCAGAAGTTGGATCAGTTTTATTCCTAAAAGGGAAGAGAACAAGAGACATGCAGTCCACTATAGACTC